CCATGCGCTTTGGGCTAACTACAGCAAACGGCGGGTACTGTTAATTTTTGCTGGCTTTCGCGATTACAGCCAACCAAAAAGAGAAAAGTATCTTCCTCTTGAAGTTGTTGAGGATAGCTTTCTGGATAATCTGTGTTATCACGGTCACTCAACAGCGTAAGTAAACATTAGCATTAAAGCGCTACTTCTTTGATAACGCTCTTACAACTCAAACAGTTTGTTAGTGATTCGATCTGAATATTAAATTAAGCGTTTTACGCTATCGACATCGGTGAGACTGTGCATGGAATGCATGGAAGGAATCGAAGATTTGCATAATGTTGGATTTATTCATCGCGACATAAAGCCATCGAATTTTGCTATGGGGCGAAAGCCGTCAGTCGCGCATACTGTATTCATGCTTGATTTCGGACTTGCCAGGCAGTACTGTGTTCGTTTACCCTTTTACTTTCGCAAAATCAGAAAAGTGGACATTGCGTAACTCTTACGATGACTGATTTAACTTGGAAAAGAACGCATATGTTTTTTGTCAAAAGGCATTTTTCCTTCAATAAAAAATACAAGTATTTTAAAAACATCATATTTTGGGCTTAATGAATCAATGGGCCAATTGCTTGAGCATTATTGAGCATACTGACACTAATGGTACCTGCATTTATGAATGCTAGGGATTAACAGTTGAGCAGTAGAGAGTCAGATTCTACCTGTAAAAGGAGCGGGTATGACTCAGGTAATGAGTAGGGTCGCATGCTAATTAAAGTCTTCCAATTCGAAGATCGAGGACAAGAAGACCTACGTATTTTATTCATGCTACGAAGTCGATGACATAATTAGCATTAGACCTTCAAGTCTATCGCCGATGCTCTTGTAGTCTTGATAATGTCGAGATATGTGTTGGATGTGAGACATGACTAAATCAAGGACATTAAGAAAGCTCAGCCTCAGTAATGTCGACTTCTTCCAATCAACGCAGCCGTATTTTAGTCCAGTCTAGGCCTTCTGGTCTTCTAATCTAGAAGTTTGGCCGTAGCCAGATTTTTTACTGCAATTTGGCGAAGAAGACGTGGTGAAATGGGAATAGAAAGAAAGGAAATACAAAAACAGGGAAAAAAACTCGTTTTTTGTAAAATATAAATTTTTGCGATCACTTCGCAGTTACAGACATTTGACGAAAAGGGCAACGCAAAGCTACGTGAGCCACGCAGAACTGTTCCGTTTCGTGGAACTATACGTTACTGTTCGGTGAGCGCACATCGTCGGGACGAGCAAGGACGACACGACGATTTATGGTCCCTTTTCTATATGACTGCAGAAATGATTCTCGGCTCACTGCCTTGGTACATTTTTCCGAATATTTCAATTTTGAAGGTAAATTTTCAAGATTCAGATTTTTTCGCGTGTTTAAATTTGTTGTCTGTACAACAAGCATCTTTTGTTTCATTTTGCGAAGTATGATCGCCGATGAAAATGGATGGCAGCGGTTTCATTGGAAGGAATGATGGTGCATCATTAAAACAAAAATACATGTATTTTTCAGTAAATGTTTAGATTATGTATACTGCACAAGTAATAAAATGAAATTAAGTTTCGAAATGCCACTAAGTTGCTCTCTTAGAATGTAAAGTGCATTTGCCTGTTTTTTCTTTTTTGCAAATGGCCGTAAAAGGAGCGATTTTATCAGGACATAAAATCTCCCGGCATAAAAGTTTTTCCGCCTTATAAGCCGAACTGCTTCTAATAATAACATGCTATAGTAATTGTAGGAATACGAGACAACAGCTGGAGCTCTAATGTATCAAATCGGGCTATTTTTTAAACAAAGGGATACTGATTACTTTCTAGTCGATGTTGCCGCGAAGAGATTGTATAAACACTGCATCCATCCTTTATTTTCAAATCCTGATTTTGCGTTTTCCAATGTTTTATCTGGTTCTTAAATGGATGTGATTTAAGGCGAAGAATGGATCGGGAGCATGCAGAAGCTTGCAAAAAAAGCTCTGAAAAAGAATTGGTATCACAGCTTCCTGTCGAGTTCCATCTTTATGTGAAGCATCTAAAGAAACTGAATTACAACCACAAACCAGGTTCTGCTAATTTCGTCCCTTGGAAAACATCAGCCAAGTCTCGCTACTATCCAATATCTTCCCTCAGACAAAATTCTTTGTCTATTAATTTATAACTATCTTATATGGGAAACTGACTGGTATGAGCTAAAATTCTTTTCGAATGTTTAATGCTAAATCATCTGAGACCTGACTTTTCGAAATAATTAAATTTCACAAAAGAAAAATTTAAAATTAGTCAATATTCAGTCAATTAAAAAAACATAAAATTAACAGATTGCAACTTGATTTTGT